TTCCCGATCGTTCTGACTGCAGCCGATGATCTGAACGCACTAGATCTCGGATTCTGACGATATTTCCATGGGTTCTTGAAGATGAATGCCTTTCGTTTCGTGATTCATCTTCAATCGGGCTCTTGACAAAACACGATCTCCGTAGACCTGTTTAGTAAGAGTTTTCGTTGCCCTGTGCCCAAGTCAAGCAATATCTGATATCACACCGTTGCTTGAACTTGATGTCACTCATTTTTAGAACACAATAGAAAAAACTGTTTCGCAAAAAAAATCGGACGAATTCAAACTTGTACTGAAGGCAGATCACATGCTCCCCTCCAAGCCCGGCGCCTCCAATGTTGCCAGATCGAACGCTACGTTGCCAGTCTCATCACTCAATTTAGAGACGTTGTACGTTTTTTAGATATTATGTCAGTTATACATCACGAAAAATTATGTCTCTCATATCCGTTGATCGGTCTATCTGTGGGATAGGTACGTCTGTCGGTTTTTTGTAGGGATTAAAAATTAGGGTTGGATGTTGTAGGAGGTGGAGAAGGGTATGTCTTATTTTTTAGCTTCCCCCGTACATTTGACCTTAAAACTTAGATCGAGATAAATATCTTCGACACGCGTCTATGCTCTCTGGGTTCGACGTTGCCTTATGGACGGTACTATCGGTCGGACAGTGAAAAATGTCTACGGACTTATTGTATGGGCCTGTCTGACTGATCTGACCCATTTAATTTCTGTGTTATACATGTTCGTAGCTGACATTTTTCTTAAAGGTCCCCCAACCTTTTCTTTTTGTTGAGGCTTCCCGGACTATATATTTTCATGCCCCCCTTTACTTTTTCTATAAATACACAAAAACGCACATGATATAGGTACAAAGACATTTATTTTTATTCTAATAAAGAAACTTTAAAAGCTTAAATAAGCCAATAAATGTTTTTTATCGAAAAACTTATAATAAATAAAAAATAAAATAAGAATAGCCTTCAGCTGTTCCGTTACAGTTAAATTTAACTTTTCCCGATCGTTCTGACTGCAGCCGATGATCTGAACGCACTAGATCTCGGATTCTGACGATATTTCCATGGGTTCTTGAAGATGAATGCCTTTCGTTTCGTGATTCATCTTCAATCGGGCTCTTGACAAAACACGATCTCCGTAGACCTGTTTAGTAAGAGTTTTCGTTGCCCTGTGCCCAAGTCAAGCAATATCTGATATCACACCGTTGCTTGAACTTGATGTCACTCATTTTTAGAACACAATAGAAAAAACTGTTTCGCAAAAAAAATCGGACGAATTCAAACTTGTACTGAAGGCAGATCACATGCTCCCCTCCAAGCCCGGCGCCTCCTTGCCAGATCGAACGCTACGTTGCCATTCTCATCACTCAATTTAGAGACATTGTACGTTTTTTAGATATTATGTCAGTTATACATCACGAAAAATTATGTCTCTCATATCCGTTGATCCGTCTATCTGTGGGATAGGTACGTCTGTCGGTTTTTTGTAGGGATTAAAAATTAGGGTTGGATGTTGTAGGAGGTGGAGAAGGGTATGTCTTATTTTTTAGCTTCCCCCGTACATTTGGCCTTAAAACTTAGATCGAGATAAATATCTTCGACACGCGTCTATGCTCTCTGGGTTCGACGTTGCCTTATGGACGGTACTATCGGTCGGACAGTGAAAAATGTCTACGGACTTATTGTATGGGCCTGTCTGACTGATCTGACCCATTTAATTTCTGTGTTATACATGGTCGTAGCTGACATTTTTCTTAAAGGTCTCCCAACCTTTTCTTTTTGTTGAGGCTTCCCGGACTATATATTTTCATGCCCCCCTTTACTTTTTCTATAAATACACAAAAACGCACATGATATAGGTACAAAGACATTTATTTTTATTCTAATAAAGAAACTTTAAAAGCTTAAATAAGCCAATAAATGTTTTTTATCGAAAAACTTATAATAAATAAAAAATAAAATAAGAGTAGATACTAATGAGACACTAGAGATTGCACGTTCTGTACCAATTGGTTGATGCTAGGTTCTGTTTTTGCCAGAGCTATCATCAGCTCGCTATTGACATCAAGACGATTTCGCTGTTTAGTTTTAATTAAAACTAAACAGTGGCTCTCATTCAGGAACCCTGGCTGAGAAACGGTTCAGTAAACGGGCTCAGTTTACCGGGATATACGCTTTTTAGTGATACTCCGGACACTAAGCCCAGAGCTTGCGTAATGACTAGCATTATTACATGGCAACTTAAAGAATTTACCCCCAGAAGCTTAGTTGCAGTTAGAAGTAGATTAGAAGGAGCTGACAAAGACCTGGTCGTATGTTCGGCATACCTTCCTTACGATTCAACTGAACCTCCTCCGTCTAAGGAACTGGGGGACCTTGTTGCATATTGCAGGGATTCTGGACTCGACCTCGTGATTGGATGTGACAGCAATACTCACCACGTCATGTGGGGCAGCTCGAACACCAACAGATGGGGTGAAGATCTCATGGAGTTCCTACTGTTATCGTACCTTGAGGTTCTGAATGTCGGTAACACGCCTACTTTCAGTAACAATGTCAGGGAAGAGGTTATCGACGTAACACTGAGTACCCTCAATTTAGCTCAGGAGATTAGGGACTAGAAAGTGACTCTAACACCCTTCTATCAGATCACAGATATATACTGTTTAAGACTGATGGAGAGATTCCAGATAAATATGCTCGGAATCCTAGGCATACTAACTGGGCGTCCTTTAGGGCAGACCTTGATAGTAAGCTTAGAGGGGTCCTATACAGCCTTTGTAAGAGCCCTGATATAGAAACAGCAGGAACTTGACTGCTTCGAATGAGGAAAACTGGCCGTTACGCAAAGTTCAAGGTAGGGGCAAGGCAACCTTCTGGTTCAAGGAGTTAGAGGACAGAAAACGAGCTGTGAACAAACTTCTTGGAAGAGTTAAGCACAGGAGGTCTCCCCAATGGGGAAAATACAAGAAGGCGTTGCAGGAATACACAAAGGAGATTAGAAGAGCTTCCAACGAATCCTGGAGGAACTTCTGTCAGTTCATAAAGGACATTCCTGCTACAGCTAAAATACACAGAATTCTATGCAAAGACACTAGAGCAAGATTAGGATCTCTGTCTGATCCCTAGGGAGGTACTACTACTTCCGAGGAAGGTACTGCGAGGCTTCTGATGGATACGCACGTTCCCGATTCCACAATAGCACGGTCAATCACAGAGTGCATGCAGGTGTGCAAACCCTCAAGGGAGGACTGGCGCACCTTCGAAAGGATGGTATGGGCGATCGATTCGTTTGCTCCATACAAAAGCCCGGGTCTGGTTGGGGTATTTCCGGCCATGTTACAGCATGGGCGGGATTCGGTTGTTCCTTACCTGTTGAAGGTGTTTCGAGCATGTTTGGCCACGGGCTTCACACCTAGAAGCTGGCGGCAGGCTAAAGTGGTATTTATTCCTAAACCGGGTAGAGCTAGATATACTGGCCCGAAGGATTTTCGTCCGATTACCCTATCGTCTTTTGTGCTTAAGACTTTGGAAAGGTTGTTGACAGCTTTTTGAGGGATAGCCCGCTGGTGAGGCGTGGCATTCATTACAATCAGTTTGCATACCAAGCTGGGAAATCGACTGATCTGGCCTTACACAATCTGGTTGGCAGGCTGGAGAAGACTCTAGAGAAGTGGCTCTTGTGGCTTTTCTTCATATTGAAGATGCATTTAATTACACTACAACCGACTCCATCAGACATGCCTTGATTAGGTACGGGGTTGGATCAATCCTAGTAGATTGGGTCATATCCACTCTGGAGGGTCGAATAGCAACAGCTATGCTGAATGAGTTAAGCTGCAGCGTCAGCGTAGCTCGAGGCTGCCCACAGGCCGGAGTTCTGTCACCCTTACTGTGGTGCCTCGTGGTGAATGAACTCCTCGTTAGTCTACGAGCAAACATATTCTGATGACGTAAGCATTGTAAACATAACAGGCAATCTTTTAATCCAAAATTTCTCCAATGTTAAAAGATGGAAGTCATCTTTCATGGACGAATCAGCCTTCATTTCTAGAAATTCTTCCTGAACTTCTTCTGGTAATTGTGACACACCGACAGCAAATGGATTTCTTGTTATGTGCCATATTTGTGACTCTGAATTGATGTCTCGATAGTATCGGCGAAATTCGTCTTCCAGCACTTACAAATGAGTTTTTATCGCAGCTCTTAAATTTGCGTCCAGTATGTTATTTTTGATTGCTTCGAGCAGCCGAGAAAACGATATAACATTTTTAGAAGACACTTTTTGATTCCAAAGTTAAAGCTTTAATATGAACCCCTGATTATGATCATAATTGCTTATTATAGTGTTGGTTCTGCACTGAAGTTTCAAGTTTAGCTTATTCAAGGAGTCAGTTAAATAAGCCAACCTCCATTGAAATGCGTCATCTTTAAACATTGTCAAGAAATCGAGTTTTTCTTTGAACTCAAGAAAAATAATTATCTATTCTTTCAATTGATAAAGGCGAGCCAACATGTTGCCTTTGGACAGCCAGCGTACTTCTATATGGAACAGAAGAAATTTGTGATCAGAATCGAGATCCTCGCAAAATAAAGTAAATAACCGACTGTTCAAATCGATGCTCTTGATGTAGTTTACAATGCTTATAGCCGAGTCCAGAGTCTGGCATAATTTCTGTGGCAATGTTTTGGTAGCCAAAGCTTGCCGATGGATAACACAATGTATACTAACCATTGCGGGATTTTTTTCCTTGAGTTTTTTAGCTATCACACCTATCATTGCAAGTGCGCTATCTGTGCAAAGTCCAATGAGTTTCTTCCAATCCAAATTATTTTTTTCAACAAAATTTGATATTGAATTAAATATATCTTCAGATGTAGTACCTGCTGTCAAAGATTGGGAGTACAAAATCTCTTCTTGTATGATATCTCCGCCGATGTAACGAACATAAACTTTTAAATAGACTTCATTTTTTGCTCTGCTTCTTCTCCTGAAATTATCTGCGTGGCTTTTAGGACACATGGTTTTAGTAGTATGGGAGTGCCACTCCAACTGTGTGTTTAAATTCTGAGTCCTCTCAATGACCATCCTCATATCATCGAAAACGTGTTGTTTAATAGAAATGAGTCGACGGAAGGTGTAGTGAACTGATACACCCCCTTTACAAGCATTTCACTGACGAGATTATACTATATCACAGTTATCGGAGTTTGCAGAAAAGGATTCTGGTAAGTTATTTAGATAAAAAATTCAAATCATGTAATTCTCACAATTAAGGTGATTGGTATTATCATTATTATTAAATTTAAGAGACTAATAAACCTCTCCTATTGTTTTCAGTATGGGCCATGGAAACTATTCTGTTTGCAGAAGTGAATATAAATAAGTTTTCACCATTTGGAGGAATATCTTTCATCAAGTTCCCACATTTTATCGAGAAAAAGAAGGCAATTATAAACGTTCAAAATAAAGATGAGTATTGTTTCGCTTGGGCTGTGATATCTGCACTGATGCCAGCTCACGATCACGCATCACAAACATCTTCCTACCCGCACTTCTCTACAATACTGAATGTAGATGGTATGACATTTCCAGTTAATCTTAAAGACATTTCAGTTTTGAAAAAAATAATTCTATATCCATTAATGTTTATGGACTCGAGAAGATAATTGAGAACGGTAATGTTACTTATGAAGTAGTAGGACTATTGAGATATGCTCAAAAGAAGTTAAAATTTCATGTTAATCTGCTATATTTAACCGATGATAAAGGAAACCGTAACTATTGTTGGATAAAGGATCTTTCACGGTTAGTATCATATCAGATAAGCTTAAATGGACATAAGAAATATTTCTGTGATGGTTCTCTGTTACATTTTTCATCTGAAACGTTTCTTGATATCCATCAAAGAAATGATTGTGAGCATGTTTACACAAAAACATCTACTGAGAAACTACGAACTGATAAATATGGTAAACAGGTTAGAGAAAACATAATTAAATTTGAAAATTTTGAGAAGCAAATGTCAGTACCTTTTGTTGTACATGCCGATTTTGAATCTCTATTGAAACCAATTGATAGTTGTGAGCCAAATCCTGAGCAGTGTTACACAAGTGAAAGCCACATACATGAACCATATTCATTTTTGTATTTAATCAAATCATCGTTTGATTCAGAGGTGGTAAAGTTTGCCTTGTATCGGGGTAAAGACGCTTCTAAAAAATTTATTACGGGATTAGAAACAGATTTGAAATTTCTTTATTTCAAATAGATGAAAGATGTAACTCCAATAATTCCTTTAAGATCGGATGAGCAAAATGAATTTGATATAGCTACAATCTACAATATTTGTGAGAAACCATTTTCAGGAGAAGATATAAAAGTCCGCGATCATTGTCACATAACGGGTAAAGTAAGATCCGGTGCTGCACATTCCAAATGCAATTTAAATTTCAAGCTACCAAACTTCATACCTATAATTATGCAAAATCTGAGTGGGTATGACTGTCATCTATTTATCAAACAATTATGTTCCCATGGAGATAATATATATGTTGTAGCACAAAAGAAAGAAAAGTATATCTCATTTTCAAAAAGCCTATATATGCATGATTATATCGATAAAAGTGGTACAATAAAAGGAAAGTTCAAAAAAATGAGGTTTATTGACAGTTGTTGCTTTTTACCGGGATCCTTACAGGCGTTATTAGAGAGTTTGAATGATGAGGATTTCATTGAGACTAAAAAGTACTTTACTGATCCAAGGGTGCTTAATATGATGAGACAGAAAGGCGTCTTTCCATACAGTTATCTTGATACTTCGAAGAAGTTGGAGCAGGAAATTCTTCCATCCAAAAGTGAGTTTTATGATAATTTGACTGATGAGGATATATCTGAAGCAGAGTATCAACGAGCAAAAGCTATTTGGAAAACATTCACCTGTAAGAATCTGAATACTCAGATGTTTATTTGCGGACGGATGTCTTGAATGAATGAATCTTGAAATTAGAGGCATTCCAGCCACCATAAGGAGCCAGTGCATAGGCCGCTTAAGCGGGCAATTATGCACCTCTACAATCCTTAGATCACAAGCCTCGCCCTTTTAGCGAAGTTGAGAATCGCCTTGAGTCCAAGCTCCTTGACGTCCTGAGGGTCCAAAGTAATGGACCCCAGTATAGTCTGCCTATAGTACCTCAGAGCTTCACAAAACGTACGCCGAGGTCTCTTGCTCTACCCCGCAGCGTTCACACAAGGGATCCTCAGCCACCCCCATCACGTGCAGGAGACGCCTTAACGTGTTATGGCCAGAAAACAGTCCCACCAGCAACCTTAGGTTGACTCTATCCAGAGATAGGCAGAAGCGTCCATCCTTAGCACTGGGTCCTTCAATGAGTTCCCGTACCTGGCGGAGATGTCTGGAGATACTTCTCCATTTCTGAGAGTGTTATCTTGCACCCCACGAATGTCTTACTGTTATGTGTTTGAGAAGTTAAGAAAAAACGGTTTGAACATTTATAAGATTGATCCAGCGCACTATTATACGAGTCCTGGATTATCCTGGGATGCGATGTTGAAGTTTACCCCTGTAAGTTTGACTCTTTTAACTGATATTGATATGATACATTTTTTCAAAACAGATATACGCGGTGGTATAAGTCAATGCAGTGATAGAATACATGAGGCAAATAATAAATAATTAATAAAACTACAATCCATCCAAAGAATGCACGGTCATAGCATATCTTGATTCGCCAAACCTTTACGGTCAATTAATGTCATCGTTTCTTCCTACAGGAAATTTTGAATGGATGAATGAAGGGAAAATTTCCGCATTTGAATTAGGAAATGTGGAAGAACATGGCGAAGACGGGTATGTCTTAGAAGTTTATGTGCAGTATCTCGAAAGCTTACACGATTCCCATAGCGACCTTCCGTTTTTGGTAGAAAGTATGATCCCACCTAATGCTAAGTCGAAAATTCCTAAATTAATACCAAACTTATACATACGATAAAAAAAGTATGTTGTACATTATCGCGTGCTTCAAGAAGCCATAAAGTACGGTTTGCAAGTAACCAAAATCCACAGCGTCCTCAAATTCAAGCAGTCGGTATGGTTGAAAGAATATATTGACCTTAATACATCGATGAGGAACAAAACAAAAAATAAATTTGAGAGGGACTTTTATAAGTTACTTAATAATTGCATTTTTGGCAAATCTTTAGAGGACGTTTTCAATAGAAGGGTAATTAAACTTAAAACCCATTGGGGAAATTTACGCAACAACGTTGGTGTGGGCGCCTTGATAGCGCGTCCAAATTTCAAAAGTTATTCCATATTTCACGAAAATTTAGCAACAGTTCACTTACGAAACCTCAAAGTGTGTCATTTCAAACCGATATATCTAGGATTTTATATATTAGAATTATCAAAGATAGTAATGTATGAATTCTTCTACGGATTCCTCAAAAGTCATTTCCATGATAAATTATCTATGTTGTATTCTGACACTGATTCGCAGTTACTTAAGATACACACCGAGGATTTCTATGAGTTAGGAATCATATCAATGAATTTGACACACCGAATTATAATGAGAACAATGAATTCAATATTCCAGTGAATCATTCGATCCTCGGTAAGATGAAGGATGAGTTTCCAGCGGATCCAATAATTAGCTTTTATGGGACGGGTGCAAAAGCATATTATATTAGGTTAGTTAAAAGTGAAATGAAAAAGGCAAAGGGCGTTAAGAAGTTCGTGATACAGAAGCAGTTATCTGGGAATGACTATAAGAGAATAATCAAAGGAGGTGGGCGGGTATTGAGAAAGATGCATATTTTTAAAAGCAAACTACATGTACACCGAGGTGAAAAATAAGGTTGCTCTAGCACATCATGATGATAAAAGGTTTATTATTCCTAACACCACAAAAACTTTAGCTTGGGGACACTCTGACATTGAGTTTTACCAGACTGACCCCTCGTTAAATGTTAAATCGGCTATAGGTGCAATCATGAAATTGCAGAAGGGGCTTTTCCTGAAAATGGTAATTTAGACTTATTAATAAAATTAATGTTGGAGGAAGTTTGTAAGTATTAGATTTAGGTTACTTCAAGCTTGTACAGGTAAATAAAATAAAAAATGTAGTAAGAAAGTTTATTTCATTTCAGACTTACAAAAAACATTTAACAGGAATGAATCAGTCCATTTTGTATAGACCCATCAAAAGCATTGTAACTGATACATGAATCATGAATAACTAATGCATACACCTTGGTGTGGAATGGAAATGCAGATTTCCTGGTCTCAAATTCTAAAGATATGTCGACAGTTGAAAGTTGGAGATGATCAGGCTGATGGCTGCAATCAATAACGAAAAGCGGACTGTCACTAATTCTTTAATATTCATCATAAGTTCAGGAATGTTCCGGTTGTAGTATGATTTTTGAAAGTTCTCAAATGCATTAATATATTTCATATGGGAGTACTTGGTTGTTCAACTTCAAACGAATCGAGTTAACATTGGCATTTATAAATTTCGTTATATCCATCGAATGATTTTCTTCAACTGTAGAATCTTGAAATCCAATGATAACGAATAGAGGTCTCTCTAGTTTACTGGTTGTTCTAATTGTCCAAACATCCGATGATGTAGAACGAAGTGATGGAAGCTCATAGAGATCAACCTTTGCAGAAGCTTGACTTTGTAACAATCTTCCGGAACGATGTGTTGAACCTTCCATTCAATCTTGGATATAGTCAATTCAGCATCATATTCACCTACATAACAGTTTTTGAAGTATCTTGCAATAACCAACAGAAGCTTTTGTTTTATATTTAGAATCCCTTTTTAGTATCTGCGAATCCCATTATATGTTTTAGGGGTATCCCAGCACTAAAAACTTTGCTTTTGTCATCCCATATAGCCGAGTTCTCGGCACGTAAGCCCCAACCAGTACATAAAAGTATATGCATAGCACTTTTACCATGTGACACCATCGTTTTTATAGTTGAAGTTATCTCTGGATTCTGAACTCCATAAACTTTTTCGCCACCCATCTGTAGGGAAATTTCTTGAAACAAAAAGGCCAAGGCATTTTTTGATAGGTAGCAGGGTTTCGTAGCGTCGCTAGGTGTAAATGTTCCTTCGACAAAAATATAACTGTCAGCAATGTTTAAAATAAGATCTTGGAAGTTTGTAGGGATGTAAACTATATCTGAATTCCTGAAATAAGGTTTGTATGTGTATTCTTGTAAGCTGGCTAAGGAATGATCTATGATGGGTTCCTCAAAAACATCCAATTTCTCATCTCTCTCCAGTGTGATGTTATCAATAAGCTGGCGTACACGCGGTATAACGCTCATATATGTATATATATTACATTCTGAGGCTTTTTTGTTAATTTAAATCCCGGTTCAACGTCTATATCAAACTCATACAAAGGGTGCATTTCATTGCCATTGCAAGAGTCTCCTGATATTATTCCACAGTCGACTCTTATTATCCTGATGGAGGTTATGTTTACAAGTAAATTCGATGTGTAGATTTTGTTTCTGGGAACATGTTTGTTCTTGAATCCAAGCAAAGTTGCCATGGAATTGGACAGAGCAATATCGAATACAGAATGGAGTTCACACTTCAAAGTATTAGTGTTGGCTTTCAAAGAGAACATTTCATCAACTTTGTATTCATATCTCTCTTTATATGTAACATTCATTGATATTATTTCATGTTGAACGTATTTATTTATTTTAGCAGCTCTTGTTATGTTGGCAATACCCCCAGCTAGACTACCTAATGCTGAAAGACCGGCAAAAATTAATATGGATGCCTCCAACCTTGGGAATAGATATAAGTCGTGGAAGCTGAATCATTTTCCACCGATGGATCTGATATGCTTCCGGGCAGCAAGTAATGCTGCGGAAGTCGCCTTTATTCACTATCTCCGATCCAAAATGCTCCGTTTTCTGTGATCTACTTAATTTTCTAGGGATAGATTTTCTTCCTTTAGGTCCACGACGTAATGCATGTCCTCCCATACCTATACGACGTTTGACTTTCATAATACTCGATGTTCTGCGGATGTATTTTCTTCTACTCCGTCCACGACATGATGCTAGACCCATTCATGCGTGACGTTTTACTTTCATGATATTAGTAACTAACCAAGCGGCAGCTTTTTCTCCAAGTTTTGCGTCTCGAGATTTGACTCTTTACCAAGCTTCTTGTTCAAGATGAAAATCAGCAACGTGTCTCGCTGTCAAATCGGATTTCTGATATGAAATATCGTGCTGTAAGCATGCAGCGTCTAATTTATTAATGCCTTTCTGACCTAGGGCTAACGTTTTCTGAAGGATCGACCGCAGAACTGGTAAGAAGGTAAGTGTACTGCAAATGGTAACTTATCTATTATCTTATCAACAAAACCACCACCACCAGCTTTTGGAGTGCTTTGACACCTTCTAATGCGAAGTAGTGGCATTTAAATAAATAAGACATACGCAATTGCGGTTTATACAGGGTGACTTCGAAGTTGAGTCATTTATTTTAACAGTGAGTAGATCTGATCAAAAGAAATGTTTTTTTCCTTTACCATTTTCCTGGTAAAATTAAAGTAACAAAGTTATAGCCCTTTGGAAGTTTGAGTACCGCCCTGTCTCAATAACAATATTATGTGGTCGTGTTTGGCGACAACGGATATAATCCGCCGTATCGGTTCATCGCATCGGAAACAAAAAAGCGAAAGAATTTGGAACGATGTTTTTACAAGTATCTCATTCATTTGAGTAGATGTCTTATGGGGATTCGGTCTCAAAACTTCCAAAATCCGCCACCAGAGGCGCTGGCGTCGCGCGCCATTGACAGGTTGTTGGACGGAATCTGTAATCGAAATTCATGAGTTGGGGATTCCGCCGCTAGATGGCGCTGTCAAACCAAACGGAATCTGTGTGTCATTGGACACCTGTCATGCGTCATTGGGCATCTCACGCTTCGATGGCGTTACACGTCATCTGTTATACGTCATTGGACACCTGTCATTGATGGGTTGGGCATCTCGCGCATAGATGGCGCCGATTTGTTTGGCGCTGTACAAACCAAACGGAATCTATGTGTCATTGGACAGCTGCCATTGATGGGTTGGGCATCTCGCGCATAGATGGCGCCGATGTCGCACCTGTCTGGTGTTGGCGTGGATTACGGGGGGCAACGTGTATACAGGGGTGCATCGAAAAATAGCGGATCGATGGACCGACGGTATATCGTTAAATCGTATATAGCAAGGCGTGACCTAAATAGCGTGGTGGGCTCCTCTGGTCGGTCGGTCGGTCAGAATGTCTCATAACCTGTATACGATGTACTGTTATTATTATACAGGATGATACCGTTCAAAATGAAAATAGTATAGACATTCTGACAATTATTTCGCAAACCAGAGGTATTTTCAATAAAACTACAATAATACGTTTAATATTTTATTGAAAATAGAAAAAACTACATAGGTAATATGATATTTGAAAACCAGTGGCGTAGACGTTCAACATTTCTCTGGGTACAGGAAAATTGTCCGTTGGTGTGGCATGGATTGGAATCAGCAACAAAGTTTCCAGTAGCACACGGTGTACCATCATACTTGCAAACATCAATAATGTTGGGAAAAACACCAAAAATGTGACATTTCTTGAGTAAAAAGTTTGCTTTCTGTTCTCCACGAACGTAGACATAGTCAGCCGCATATATCACCTTATTTTTAATTATTTCATTTAACTTGGAATATTTAACGTCGCCGGAAGAATATGTAAGCCCATGGAAATTCTTCTCCAAGTAAGCGACAGTTTTCTTGTCTTTAGTATTTAATGTAGAAAAAGGTTGCGGAGGTGTAAAGATGTAATGACTTTTCTTGAAACCAATTTCGATACATAGTTCTTTAGGTACGAATAATCCGTCAACTGTAAAGCCTTGAATGTCAACAAACGCGATCCTCATGATGTCTGATGCGGAACTGAGAGTCC